ATTTATTTTTATTCTTTCAAGTTTATTAGTTTAAGGTAATTTATTTAAAGATTTTGTTTACTCTGATTATTGCTTAGATGTATCCTATATGTAGTCTTACATTATTAATTTCTGTTCAGTTTCAGTTCTGATTTCTTCTTTGACCCAAGAGTTTTAAAAGAAGGATTTAAAAAAATTTCCAGGTAGTACTTCTTGTTCCTTTTATGTCTTAGTTTGTTTTAAGTTTTATCAGAGAATGTTGTCAATACTGTTTCTAGTTTTTGGAATTTATTGAGATTTTCTTTGTGGGCTACTATATGTTCAATTTCTGTGAATGTTCCATAGTTATTTTAAAAGCAATAGTCTCAGTTTTTATGATTTAAACTATATCAATTAGATCTACCTTTTAAATTATGTAGTCCATAAGTTAAATTTAAGCAGTCCATATTGTTACTTTTGTTTGCTGTCATGGGTTAAGAGATATGAATTAAAGTCTCCAACGACAAATGTTTCTATTTGTCCTATATTTCTTGTCATTTCTGCCTCATTGATTTTGTCGCTATGTTATTTGTAGTATAGATAGTCACAGTTATTCAGTCTTCATTATCATATACTTTATAATTGTAAATTGCCATATGATTTCATTTTTTTGTTGAGGAAGATTGTCCCTGAGCTAACATCTGTTGCCAATCTTCCTCTTTTTGCTTGAGGAAGATTCATGCTGAGCTAACATCTGTGCCAGTCTTCCTCTGTTTTATATGTGGGTTGCCACCAGAGCATGGCCTCTGACAAGTGGTGTAGGTCTGCCCCTGGGAACCAAACTCAGGCCGCCAAAGTGGAGCACGCTGAACTTAACCACTAGAACATGGGGCTGGCCTCTCATGAATTCTTTTAGGAAATTTTTACATTTGTCTGTGTCCTTTTATTTCTGGTGTTTGAGTTTTGCTTTGTGATTCCACTGGAAAGTTTTCTCTTCTTTTAATTGGTTGGATTTTCTTTACATTTCTTGACATTTATTGATTGTCTTAAAAACTAAGACAGAACCACTATAATTTTTTCTCCCTTAATTTAAATCATTATATGGATTGTGTTTTCTTTGCTTCATTTTAATTGTGTTTTCTCTTACTTAATTGTGACAGTTTCTATTTTTATCTTGGTTCTTTTTGTGGATACCATTATACCTATAATTTTTACGTAGTAAACTTAACCCTCTCTTTCTTTACATAGGATCTGTGGCCTCTCCACTAAGCAATATTGAAATTATACTTTTGCTTTCTCCTACTCTCCCTTCACCATACAATTTTAGTTATTATTTTTTGTTCTAGTGCTTATGTTTTATACCTTTAAATATACTTGTATCTCTAACATTTATCTTTCAGCTTGCAAAGATTTTTTACTTTCATCTACCTTTCCCATTTATTTCCCTTTCTCTTTCAACCCATTTAATAGTGTATAACATTTACATTACATTCTGTAACTATAATCCCTGCAATTGTTTTAAATGTATTCCTAGAGCTGAATGAATTTGTTGCTCCTTACAGTATCTTTGGTATAGTTTCACCATTCACTTTTTAGTTACTTGTGTTTCATCCTTTAATAGTTTCCTCAAAAAGGATGAATGGAAATTATTCCCTGAGTTATTGCACATTTATGTCTGTTGCATTAATTTTGAACAATAGTTTAGCTGGGTATAAAATTGTTTGCACCTTCATTTCCTAAAGTATTTATAGGCATTGCTCCTCTGACTTCTATGTTGAATGTTGGTATGTGGAAGTTTGAAATCCAGCCACATTCTTTTCATCCTTATAGGTGAATTGATTTTTTGACTCGATGCCAAAAGGATTTTTTTATCTTCAAAGTTCACTAACTTTACTAGGATAAACCATCGGTAACCATGTGTATACATGGTTGAATTCGTACAATCTATAGATTTAAATATTTTATTTCTGGAAACTTTTCTTGAATTACATCTCAAATTTTTTTCTGTTGTTCTCTTATTGACAACAATTATCTGTATGTTAGATCTACTTTGTCTTCTATATTTATTATTTTCTAATTCTTATAAACTTTTGTTGACTTCTACTTAATTTTGCCCATTTTCTCAGTGTTGTCCTCTAAGCTTCTTACTGGGTTGTTAGTGGTGTCTGTTCTCCCTTAGGCTGTTTCCAGCTTTCTTTGATGGAATGGTTTTAGAAAGCCTGTACTTTTAGCTAGCTTAAGGCCTTTAGATTCCAACTGGCATCCTGGTAACAAGTAGCTAGGGCTGCAAAAATAAATCTTTGAAAGAAGAGATGGATGCTTTTCACCATCTGCCAAATTTGCTGTTTAGTCATATTTCTTCTTTTTTATATTCCAGATAATTGAAATTCCCCTTTGAAGTTTTGGTTTTTCCCTTTCCTATCCACTTACGTAACTTCCTTGCAGAAATTCTTTTGCTTTAATTTGAATGTGTAGTTATGGATATTTTTAATTTGTGGATTTAAAAATAAATATTTTGGGGATTATTTAGTTCTGTTATATGGAAAAAGGATTATGGAATTGTCTCCTTGCTCCCACAGAAGACTGAGTGTTCTTTCCTTAAGGAAGAATTAGGAGTAAATCCTGTGTAAGTGGTTTTCAGACTTTGTAATATTTTATTAAGGGCAAATATTAGGTGACAGTTGAAGAGAAATGTGTAAAGCCTAGGCAGATACTGATTTGGAGGGTCTTTGGGTGTGTTCCTTTTTTTTTTTTTAACCTTCTGTGTAGATATGGTAGATGCTTTTCCTTTGATCAGTATACTACTTAGGATGTGGGTATTCTCTTTTAAGTCTTATCTGTGATGGAATAGATTTTGATACTATGCTGGTAGTCAAAGATTTGAGGAGCACTTCTGACCATGTTCAGATCATCCGCTTGATCTATTTGGGTCTTGGGAAATGGTGAGGGATTCTAAGCATCGCTTTAGACCTTTTAGGATAACATGGCTCAAAGAAATTGTGGCCACAGGGTTAAGAACTTGGGCAGTGACTGACTGTGGCCACAGGGTTAAGAACTTGGGCAGTGACTGACTGTGGCCACAGGGTTAAGAACTTGGGCAGTGACTGACTGTGCCCACTTAATTTCTTGTTATTGGGCTGTTTTCCCCACTGTGCATCGTGGTGTTACCCAACAGCGTATTATCTATTTGTTTGGTATACGTGTGTGGGTCTCTCTTCATGGCACATGGGAAAAGGAAAAGGCCATTCTTCCGGGAGACACAATTGGAATCTTAGGTTCTCAAGGCTGTGGGAGGGCTTTTCACCTGTCATTAGGTTTTGTAAGGGTTATCCAGAAGCAGTAGTGGTAGCAGGATGTGCCATTATTGATCTCTGACTCTGTGCCAAGTGCTGTGCTTAGTGCTTTTATATCCCCATCTCATTTTTTTATTAGAATGATTACATGAACTCTTTATTATTATCTCCACTTTACTGATAAGAAAACTAAGGCTCAGAGTTAAGTCACATGACAGTTAAATAGTAGAGTTGGGATTTGAGTCCAGGACTTGTAAGCTCTAAAGCCCATGCCCTTAATGACTGTATGACTGTCTCTCAGGGGTGGCGATTAGTCTTGTAAGTCTTCTACAGCTGAACAAGAATAGGGCATCGTAGGGAAATAGAGTAAAAATTCTCATTATATATCATTTAATATAGGTTTACTCTGTGTTTGAATAATTAAAACAGATTTTCACATTTGATTTGTCCCTTCCCCTCATAATGTAGAGAATCAGATTATGAAATGAGAAGGGTGTGGGAGTGAATATTGTTTTCCCACTGATAATTCCTTACATGGTTAAATGGATTTTGCTTGAATTTCCTTCCTTTTCCTAACAGGGAAAACCTTCAGGCCTTAAATGTCAAAATGGAAATCTTTATCCTGAATAAAATTGGTTCTGAGATAGGAACCATTATGAATGACATAGAATCGTTTAAAATGGCATCTTCCATATTTCTCACTGTTAACTTGAAATGCGCTCTTATGTCATTTAGTGATCCAAAAAATATAGCAAAACTAACATCAGATTGGTCTTTCTAGATAGGAGTGATGAAGTTAAATCTTTATTTACATGCTGTAATGGGTATTGTCCTGTGAGTTCCACTGTAATGTTCTAAGTAATGTACCATTACCTTAGAGTTTTACCAAGTATTTCTGCTTTCAGGACATGATAGAGACAGACTCTCCTATTGTTTGCAATTACCCTCAAAAAAATTTGAAAGCAAGCAAAAAAAAAAATGTTTTTTCCCCTCTCAGGACAAGTTTGCCTTCTGCTAAACAAAATTAGGTTTGTCCTTTCCCTGTGGTATGAAGACAGAGCCCTGAAGGGCCACACTTGGGCCTGTGGCTGGGTCTGCAGCCCTCTGCCCTGCAGCGAGGCGCTTTCTGCTTGGAATGACGGTGCTGGGCAGTAGCAAGAAGACCCTGAGCAGGCAACCCAGTCTTTCCTATTTCACTCTAAATGTCAATGAAATAGTCTTTCATCCCGTCCTGTCCTGCCTGGGAGACGGGAAGGGGAAGGTGTTCATTTCTGCCAGTGCTTTTGCTTAAGATACACTCAGAAGACATTTTTCCATAGTCTTGTGGTTGATACCTTAGTTAGCAACCCAATCACTAACAACAAAAGGAGCAGCGCTGCAAGAAAAGTGGCTCCTAAGGTCAGGGCCAGGTAGTGAGACCCAGGGCACTGGGTTGAAGGGAAATTATTCTTGGGCTATTTTAGAGAGTCTCGTCCTGAGGACAATTAAAGAGTCCAGACAGGTCACTGGGTGAGACCAATTTCCTGGTTTGTTTATTTGAGCCTGATTGTTTTTCACCATCGAGCAGCAGGTCATAATCCTGCTATACTGTTACCCAGCTCTGCAGAGAGCACTCCCATTCGTATTTGGTTTCTCCAGGCTTCCCTAAGGATCCTCGCCCTGTCTTTCCCTGGTTGCATTGCTCTGGTGTCTCTCAGGTCCAGGGCAGAGGGCAGTGTCAGTAATCACTTTCGACTTCATCTCATGCAGGCGTTTGGCTTTATGTCCCGAGTTGCTCTACAAGCAGAGAAGATGAATCATCACCCAGAATGGTTCAATGTGTACAACAAGGTAACTAAAGTGCCTTATTTTGGGATCATGTTAATTATGGAGTTTAAAAAACATCCTTTTTCCTCTCTTCTTTATCATCCCGTGCAGCTAAGTGTCCTTGTGTTTAGGAAAGTATTCTCTGATATTTCCTTTCAGAATCCCTGTATATTATTGCACATTAGTAATAGATTTTCAGATCTGCTCAAGAGAACAGTGACCAGACTCTTTACTTTCATGCTTGTCTTCTGCTGAAACCAATATGAGAAAGTTGGGCCAAAGTAGGCGCCTGAATTAAACTTGAATATCAGCTGTGCAGATAAATTTTTAAGCCCTCTTAAGCTAAATTATTGAAAGAAATGGTCGCAAATAAGAAAGATATGACCTTATTTATCTCATTGAAATAAATTTGCTCAAGAACTGTGCTTTAAATAATAACTATTAAATTCTGTATCCTCAGGGGGAACTGACCTTACTTAAGACAAAGAGCAGACTAAAAAGACTTCAGCAAGTAGTTTCAAGGGGGCACAGTGAGAAGAGTCTTCAAAAAAAGTGTCACCGCTCCAAAAAAGTGCCCTTGCCTTTATGGTCATGCCATTTGGGATGTCTTATCATCTAGGTTTCTGTGGGCTTCTGTTTTCTCTTTGAAAAAAGAGAAAATTTCATGATATTCTTGTGGTTTATTGGAATAATTCGGAGCACGCAGGTACAAGGCTAAACTTTTTTCCCCCTAGTTGTCTCTCCTTGCCTGTAATTTTGCCTTTGCTTTTTAATCGATTTGTCAGGAAGCAACGGTCTGTTCCTCCACACCCGCCCCCACCCCTCTTCCCTCATTTGGAGATGGGCTTTTTTAACATGGTTGCTAAGATATTACATTTGATAGCTTAGTTTTTCTCAGTGGCCTGAAAATAGTTGGGGTAATTAAAGTAATGGGAGTTAAAATGGAACCTCAGTCTGTTTTTTTTTTTTTCCAAGAGACAAGATTTGAGATTCTGGCAGCTGAATTGCCCTTCATATGAGAGAACCCTTTTATCCCTGGGCGGCTGCCGGGTCCAGCCTGCAGCAGACTGTGCCCCTGGAGTTTACTGGGTTTTGGAAATGCTGTGCTTCCTCATAATGTAGTATTTTCTAAATCAATTAATCTCCCCAATTCTCAAATGTGAATGTTGAATAATAGATTGATTTCTGAACCACCAAAGGAGAGTACCATGAATTACAGCTCAGGGTTTTAAAAACTGCTTCTCTCTTTCTTAGGTCCAGATAACTCTCACCTCGCATGACTGTGGTGGACTGACCAAAAGAGATGTGAAACTGGCCAAGTTTATTGAAAAAGCAGCTGCTTCTGTGTGATTTCTTTCAGAATGCGTATAAATCTTATACACATCTTAGCTGCAATGTATTTTGATGGCAATTTACATGAACAAATTAAGTTGTAAATTTAGTTCACCTTTTAAACTATCACATTTTATAAAATCAGTGCTTAAATACAGAATAATTTAAACTGGAGCCTGAGGTGTTTTTCATTATATCTAATCACATACAGGTAATAAGGTAAACCAACCGAGGTAATTATATTAATAGTATTCAGAAAGAGAAATAGCATTCTTAAAAACCAAAAATTGCGATGGAGAGTGTTCACTCTTTTATAACCTAGAAATTCAAGTGATTATAGTGACTTTACAAATGCGTTGTGTTGGAGAATAGTTATAAGTTAGAAAAAGAATGATGAACTCAGTGAGTAAAGGGTTTTAACCATGTGTAAAAGTTCTTATGAAGCTAAAGTTGATTTGGATTTTAGCTACTATTAATTAAGTAGTTAATTAGATTACAAAAGTCACAAAATTGGATGAGCTATCTTGTGTTTTATCCTTACTTTTCAGACAAGGAGCTGAAGGAGAGGACAAGTGTCTTGTCCATGGTTTCCAGCAAGGTGGGGCCATATAAGGATTCACTGTCACAGTGACCAACTTGCCAGGTCATTATTTGACTTACTGAGTTGAGGAGGAACCAAGGGTTCTTTTTTCCGACATTTGCATATTGTGACCCCTGAGCTGAGGGTCTCTAGCCACTAAGCTGGAAGCTACTTGGGTATTATCCAGGAGTAGGCTCTGTTTACATCGTGTGTCGCTGACAGGAGTAAAATGAAATATAAGGTAATCTATTATTTAAAAATTACAGTAACAGTAGTTCTTTGAAGGAACTCAGGAATGTACTTATTAATGAGATTAGAATGTATATTAAAAGAACATGTATATCCATCCAAGGGACATGTGTTAATCCCTTAAAGCATTATTGTGGTAGGATTTAACAGGGATCGTCTTTGTAACCCACTTTACTTTAGAGGCAAGAAAAATCACTCCATGTTACAACAAGCAAACCTCCCTCTCCACCCCACTCCCCGCCCCTCCCCCAGCCCCGCCCCCAGTCTGAGCTCTCTAAAGCCAGTTCTTGGCTGGGTCTGTTGGCCTGGGTAAAGCAGGTATGGTCAGTTTGCCCAGTGGGTATGGAGTATGCAGGGAGGGAAGAGAGAGAAAAGCCACCCAGGCTCTGATGGCTGCTGGGAGAAGGCATTAGGGGGCATATGACCAAAGAGGCAGTAGGAGTATAGGAGGAGCTGATCCCTGAGGGAGAGAATGTAGAGTGAGAAGATGAGGCTAAAGATGGAGTCTTGGGGACATTAATCAAAGTGATTCTTAAAGCTTTGCTGTTGATGATTTTAAGTGGAAAAATTGAGTAAATAAGATGTCGTTTTCCAAGTCAGGATATTGGTTGCCTAAAGAGTATTTTCTTACCAGGAATGGCCATATACACTTGTTTTAGAACATCAGGGACAGCAGAGGTGGTGGGGTGGTTACACCCTTGTCTTATGGCCCAAGAACTTAAGTTTCCAGGAATTTGACCAATTTCACCACTAAACGTTAAATTCAACATAGGGCTACCCAGATCCCTCTGTCTTGCTTTGTCTTGAGAGCTAAAGAGTTTAGGAAAAGGAGAGTGAGGAGAATATATTAATCCTAGGAACTGAACAAAGCAAAAATCCCTATTTATCGTGTACTTAAAACATTTCTACCACATGGGCTCTCCCTGACATTTTATTTAGGGGTTCATATTTGCGCATTCCTTGCCCCCCAGTTAGCCAGTGCTGGGCATGGGGAACCTTCTCTGCTCCTCCTGTTTCTTGTCTTCTAGCACCACGCTTATCAAAATCTTTCCTTGTCCTTCCAGGTGTTTCCAGTGCTGTGCCCTGGATGTGTGCTTTTGCTCTTAGAACCCCAGAGAACTTTCCTTTCCCCTCTTCTACGACCCTTAGCTTATTCTAGCACATTATTAAGGGCCTTTGTCTGTCAGATGGGGGCACTTCTTGAAGAAGGAAGGGCTTTTGTCTGGCCTATTGCTGGTGTCTCCCAGCTTTAGCCAGGAGCTTCATAATTGCTGGTGCTCATAACTCTTGCTTAACTGAGGTGCTCAGTCTCCTTGGGGAGAGAGGATCTTTGGATAGACCAGCTGGGGAGCTCTCCCCTCAGGGGCCTGCAGGCTAGTAACGTACTGGAATGTCCAGGAGTGATCTCATAAAGCACGGATTCTCTTCGTGGACGCTGCCCTGCGGCCTCTCGGATTCTGGACGCCCAGGAAATCCCTAAGCAGAGATTTTCTGTTAGATGATAAAAGCAAGGAATAAAACTTGAAAATTAGGAAAATGTCTCAACTCTTTCATCACCAGAACCACAAGAGAGCCATTACTAATTCGCTGTCAGATAATGCATCGGTGATGTTCTGTGGGAGTTGCAGGAAATTGCAGTAAATATTCTCTTTTTCTATTGCTTGTTAAGAAATGTACAAATCGCAGTTTGGGGGCAGGGTGCCAGCGTTCTCTTAGCTTCCTCCCAAAGGGTTCATCCACTTCCAAAAATGAGGTGCATGTCCTTGATAATCTAGTCTCTCTGACTCATGAGGTTGGTGAAGCCTCAGCCAAACAGTTTGCTTCTTCAGCTTTTATGTCATGATGCCTAGTTGAGTCAAACGCTCAGACATGCTGTTATTTGACCTGTAGACTGAGTTGACTCCATTTTGTCCTTTTGTATTAGCTACTGTGTTACATAATTTGAAGGCTTTTTTTTTTGATAGTAGATCCCACCTTAAATCAGATAATGAAAATTTTACCTCTGGTTTTAATGGATTATAAAAGCATATACATTCTGTATTTTTTTACTGTTATGAGAATATGTTCATTTGTTACATGTAATGGGAAAAAAGTTATACATACTCTGAGGAAAACTGCAAAACACAAATAAATAAAAATAAACAGGAAAAAGAATCACCTCTAACCTCACCATCCATAGGCAGACACTATCGACATTTTGACCTATTTTCTGCTGAATTTTTTTCTACCTCTGTTTGCACAGTTGGGATAATTTTGAGTTGAGAATTTTATATCTTGTTTTTGTGTTTTGCTCTCCAGTGGGTCATAAAACATTTTTCTAAATCATGAAAGAGGCATGGGTATATTTTAGTATCTATATAATGTTCCGTAAGATAGATATGCCATAATTTACTTAACCAGTCCTTTTTGTTAGACTTTTAAATTGTTTCCATTCTCACTACTGTAAATAATCTAGGGTAAACATATTTAGCTAAAGTCTCTGTTTGCATTTCAGATTGTATTCTCTTGGGGTAGATTCCTTGAGTCAGAGGATATGAACAGTTCTAAGGCTTTTCAGAAAAATTGGTCAATTTACATTCCCCTGGCAGTTTATGAGAATGCCCTGTCACACTACACTTATGTCAGCATTAAATATTATCATGTTTAAGCTTTTGCTAATTTTATAAGCAAAAATAATGATTTTACTTAATTTTCATCTCCTTGATTCATACTGCTACTGAACATTTTGGGGGAAGTTCATTGCTCTTTATGTGTGTTTCATGAGTTGACTATGTGTGTGCCCATTTTTTCTTAGAGTGTTCAGTTTTTTGTTGTTGTTTTGTTTTTTTTTAAGGAAGATTAGCCCTGAGCTAACTACTGCCAATCCTCCTCTTTTTGCTGAGGAAGACTGGCCCTGAGCTAACATCCATGCCCATCTTCCTCTACTTTATACATGGGACGCGTACCACAGCATGGCTTTTGCCAAGCAGTGCCATGTCCGCACCCAGGATCTGAACCGGCAAACCCCAGGCCGCTGAGAAGCGGAACGTACAAACTTGACCACTGTGCCACCGGGCTGGCCCTGAGTGTTCAGTTTTTTATCATTGATTTGTAAGAACTTGTATGGGTGATTATTTGACTATTACAAGTTTTCGCTACTAGACTGACAATATAGTCATGTGCTACATAACGATATTTCATTCAGTGATGGACTGCATATATGATGGTGGTCCCATAAGATTAGTACCATACAGCCTAGGTGTGTAATAGGTTATACCACCTAGGTTTGTGTAAGTATTGTAGGGGAGGAGGAAATCCTCTACCCTTCTAGTTTCTTCTAGCGGATCTAAGGATCAAGTTGACATGAGACAGATGAACAGGAGAAAAACAAAAGTTTAATAACATGTATACATCAGAGAAACCCAGGAAAACTGAGTAACTTGCCAAAATGACTGAAGCCCTGACCTTTATACCATCCTCAGTTAAAGACAAAAGAAGATGTTGGGGGTGAGGAGGGTCAGAGACTTCAAAGGGAAGGAAGGTAATTCACAGGTAGGTGAAAAGGAGCAAATGTTTGGAAAACAAGTGTTCGGCCACACAGAAACAGAAGAACACAGAGGGGAGCCCAACAAACAGGCTCTTCTAGTTCCTCCCTGTCTGCCGCCTAGTTCATGTATACTAAAGTGATAGGTCACTTCCTGAGACAGGTTTTTTAAAAATCTTAATTCTTTTAGGCAGTTAAGGGAAAGGTAAAAAAGCAAACTTTCTGGGTCTTTGTTTCTTAAAAATAATCAGCCTAAAATAATTCTCATGTTAAAGAGATATGTTTTAGGGTGGCAAATTTTGTTCCTTTTCAGTACACTCTGTGATGTTTGCACAATGATGAAATTGCTTAGGGCTGCATTTCTCAGAATGTATCTCTGTCATTAATGACGCATGACTGTATTTAGTTTTGCTCATGTGATATCCCCAGTGGCTACTGTATTGCCCAGCATGTAGTAGTCACTCAATAAAAATTTGTTGAATGAGTAAATGACTTGAATGATAGTCACTCAAAAATTTGTTGAATGAGTAACTGAAGATGATGCTTTGTTTTACATGAGAAGGAGTGGTGACCATTCTTTTTCAGAGGTCTAGGGAGAAGGAACTGAGTAAACCGGTGGGAAGAGACCATCAGTGATCACCATACATATTTCAGTGGTCATTCAGTTAGCATTTCATTGCAATTTTAAAGTATATGTATGTTCAGAGAAGGGGGAAAGCAGACTTTAGTTGCTACAAAAAAAAAATGCATTGTTTGGGGAGGAAGCTATAGGGAATATAGCTGTGTTGTAAAATACTCATACTTCTTATTCAACTTTTTGACAGGAGGAAAGATACTGAGTGTCAGGAATTTGTGAAGAGAGTCATAATGAGCCATCTCTTTAAGATAATTATGATTAGCACTGTCTCACTGAATGCCTTTTTTATGGTCTTGTGGACTGATTATAAAACAAGATACAAATTGTTCAGACTTTTTGAGGTAAGTAGACAAAATGGGTCCATTTTCTTCTGTTTCCCCTGTTTTATTTCTGAAAATGTTATAAGATTTTCAGGGCATTTTGTCCAAGACAATTTTCTGTAGAAAAATTCTAAGGGCTTTTAAAATATACTTTTAAAATCTGAGAAGATGGCAGCAGCAGTAGCAGCGGTGACATGGTTTTTTTCATTTCCCTGAGTCCGCTGTTAAAAAAAGACAGCAACCAGATAGAAAACCAAAAACCTGTGGGCAGCGGTTGCATCAAAACTAGTTAACAAGATCTCCTTACTAAGAGCCACAACTGCTTAGTGTTAGCCTCTGTGGGAGAGGAAGCAAAAGGAAGTCAATAGGGATTCACTGGAAAGGACGATGGGCTGACGTGAGAAAAGCCGTTAATGTGAGGAGGGTGTTGCCTGATACTAGGTTAGTGCAAGAGGTTCCTGGAAATTTCTGAAGAGGCTAGAATAGTCCAGACCCTATGAACTTTCAAAACTGACCAGCTAGGGCTCCCTTCAAGGATGAGCCCCCACACTTAGCAGAAATACTGGAAGTGGAATAAAGATTGAGCAGGTTAGAGACCCAGAGATGAAGGAAGAGAAGGTGCAGATAAAATTAGAGAAGGGAAACAGAACCAGGAAACCTCAAAAATCAAGCTACTGGATTTTAAAACATGACACAAAAAACAGACGAGGGAGCTATGGGAAGTTAGAACCACACTTTCTAAAAGTTCAGGAAAACTAATTTCAAATAAAAAAGTACAATAGAAAAAGCCTGAGGTAAAATTCTATATAAAATTCTCATAAGAAAAAAGAGAATAAAGTGGCGAATAATATCCCTGTAGACAATGAAAGCACACTACAAAGATATGTCCAATAAACAGATAAAAACTGTGGCATATTATTTCACACAAGGTAAATGTTTAAGAAAATGATACAAGATAGGAAAGAACAGAAGTGAGATGACAAAACTTAGGAAAGAATTAGAAATAAAAGAAAAATCATTTCAAAAATGAAGACTAGACTAAGAGCAATTAAATACAACAGATAATACCTTAAGAGAAATATAGTATTAAATGAGGAAATCTTTAAAAATTAAGAAGAAATGAAGAGATAAAAAGGATTCAAGAGAAAATGATAAACATTGAAGATGAGGAAAAAAGATCCAACATAAGGATAATAGGAGTCCCTGAATTTGAAACAAAAACAAAGGAACAGAACAAACACTAAAGTCTATAATCTAAGAAAAGTTGCCTGAAATAAAAGTATTGAAATGATATCTTGAAAGAGCACACATTGCATACCTGATAATGTGGACTTAGAACAATAAACGCCAAGACGAGTTCTGGTAAAATGATTGGACTTTAAAGGAAAGAGGGATGAAGGAAACTGTAAGCATCTAGGCAAAGTGGCTTATGAGAAAAAGAAAATTAGTTGTTATCAGACTTTGCTATGGAAATGCTTTATGCTAAAAGAAAATGGGGTAATCTATTTAAGCTACTTAAGAAAAGAAAATGTGAACCAAGAATTCTAGATCCAGCAAAACTCACTTTCAAGATAAAGGGCACAGAGAAACTGTCATCATTGCTAAAAAACTTGGGTAATATTGTTCCCATGAGCCCTTTTTAGGAATCTAGTGAAGAATAAGTTTCAGCTGACCAAAATGACTACAGAAGCATCAGCATTAGGACGGTGGTAGTATTAAAAATATAATTATTTGTAGAACTAACACTAATTGTGGGTTAACAAGGAGAGAATATAGCATGTAATGAATATATTCTCTGACAATGAAGATATAGTATGACTGAAAAATGGGGGAGAATGGGTAAAGTCAAGGAAAAAGTTTTTAAGCCATTTTCAGAAATCAATGCAGTGGTGATATTATTAGTTGTGTAATTCTGAGACTATTGTGTGTAATACAGGATAAAGCGGATGGGTAATTATGGGACAGTTTAATTCTGTTCTCCTCCGTGTGCTTGGGAATCAGGATACTCATGGAAGAAAGGAGATACAGATGTAATAAAGAAAAAGTTAAGTAAAAACCCTGTAGTTATGCATTTGAGTCAGAAGTATCAATAAACTACTAAGTTGTTTTTATCTTTATCCATTGAAAGACCTAGAACATTGACCAACTCAGCAGTTATCCATCATTAATGTTCATAATGTTGAAATGTCATTTCTCACTAAAAGAAACTAGAGATTCTTGGAGACATGGCTTGTTGCAGATCTAGGGCAGAAAATATACCAGATAAGCCAGGAATATCTTCTCATACACATAGTAAGGAAGCTATCAAAGATTGGGGTCATGTGAAAAGGACTCAGGAGACAACTTGAAGAGGCTCCTACTGGCCAAAGATGGGCCAATTTCAGCTTCAATAAGGACAATAATTACAATGGATTGAAACTCATAAAATAATCCATAAGTTTATAATGATGCCAAAAAATGAAACTAACTGGTCACTTTTGGAGGGTGATAAGGAAGTAATTCTTTATCTCAAAATCTGCTAAATTAAAGGAAAGAATAAAGCATTACTGACCTTTCTTATATGAACTGTATTACTGAGTAACCACACAGTAGGTAAGGGGAAACATCTCTATAGAAGTGTCCCAGTCAATAAATGAAAAATAAATGATAGAATTAGAATGTCATATTTTTCAACCCCCAATGAATTAATGGATCTAAGCACTGAGTAGCAGCGGCTGCTACCATCATAAAAAGAATGACAACCAGACATTTTGTGCCTTCTGTGAAAGAACAGAACCTGTAATCTTGCCAAAGGGATCAAACCTGAATCTGATCAAGTCTTTGGATCCAGCTGCTTATTTCTAGGAAATAGAGGAACATGCTGAGCTGCACCATGTGTGTGCAGTTAACAGTATTCAGACTGGAAAAAATCTGCACATCAAACTGCCTGGGTTTTCAACAAATAAGTTTTAAGGAAAGAAAAAAAGAAATGGGAGACTTAAAAGACATATCAAAAACATGTTATAAAAGTGCAAGGTGGGGGCCCTCCTGGTGGTGTAGTGGTTAAGTTCACATGCTTTGCTTTGGTTGCCTGGGGTTCATGGGTTTAGATCCCATGCGCGGACCTGCACGCTGCTCATCAAGTCATGATGTGGTGGTGTCCCACATACAAAATAGAGGAAGATTGGCAACAAATGTTAGCTAGTTCTAGGGATGCATACATGGGTTTCTATCTTTAGAGAAATATAAGGAAGTGATTACTATGAAAATAGGGTAGTGGTTAATTTTGAGGAAAGGGAGGGGGTTGTGATTGGGATAGGGCACATGGAGGGGCTTCTAGGATAGCTGACAAAGTCCTCCTTCTTGACCTAGGTGGTATTCACAGGGATGTTGGCCTTGTAATAATTCATTAGGCTATATATTTGTTCATGTGGTTCCATATGTGTATTTTATTGTACAATGAAAAGGTTTAAGATGAACCCTGTCTTCATTTACCATAAATAAAAAAATTCCTTCTTGGTGGTGAAAAGGTTTAGCATCAACATAATGTGTGTCAGAGCTGGTGCAGATGGTGGAATACCCTAATCAATTCCTGAAATGTGCAAGGTCCGCTTGGCACCGCTTCCGTGAACATGTTGGTATGGCAGTGTATTCCACACCAGCATTCCACAGAGTTTGGTTATGGACTGTAAAATATCATGTTGGGTATAGGACTTGGTAGGAATCAGGGAAAGAGATGGGTTGAGAAATCTGAAGCTTCTGATTGCCCTCCAGAGGCTATATGGGTCCCTAAACATGCCTTCTGTGGGGACCCTGGTTTGCAAGCCTGGGGAAAGTTCTGTGCTGTGGAAAGGATGCAGACTTTAGTGTCATGCAGATTTGAGTTCAAGCTGCAGTTCTACCTTCTTACTAGCTGTGAGAAGTTGGGCAAGTTATTTAACATCTATGTAATTCAGCTGCAGCATTTGTAAAATGATGTTATTAATACATAACTTACAGAGTGGCTGTGAGTGTATATTTTCATTATGAGTGGTGTGAGGTATATTTTCAATGAAAATATACCTGTGAGAGCCCCTGGTTGACTATGAAACTCTGAGAAATTATTAACACTTGTGGGGATCCCAATGAAGGTACCTGAGAAGGCCCTGATCTCTCACCTCCAGCTAACCTCGAGGCTCTGTGCATGCAGGAAATGGAGGCTAAGGCAGACTTGTAAACTAATGGAGTATTAAATGCATGTCCCAACACGCACAGCCCTTGGCAAAGGCTGGCAGGCTATTGGTTTCAGGCATTTAAGGAAATATCTGTGTAATCATTAACAGACCATTAAGCTACCTGAGCAGAACCTTTGGTGGCCACACATGACAAAGAATACCAACTTTACAGAATTTGTCCAGGAAAATCACTTAAAAAAAAAGAAAGAATGGCAACAACAACAAAATCCTGGGTTAGGGGAGGGGGATGAGGATCTAATTTCCAGAGTTCCAATGTTATATAATTTAAAATGTCTAGTTTTCAACAAAAAAAATTCATAGACATTCAAAGAAACAAGAACATATGGCCCCTACACACACACAAAAAGCAATCGATAGAAACGGGCTCTGAGGAAGCCTATCTGTTGGACTTACGAGACAGAGATTTTAAACCAGCTATTATCACTATGTTCAAAGAACTAAAGAACTAAAGGAAAGTATGAGAGCAGTGTCTCACCAAATAGAGAATATGAATAAAGAGATAGAAATTATTAAAAAGAGCCAAAGAGAAGTTCTGTAGTTGAAAAGTACAATAATTGGAATGGAAAATTCACTAGAGGAATTCAGTAGCAGATTTGAGGAAGAAAGACTTGATGAACAGGAAGATAGGCCAATTGAGATTCTTCAGTGTGAGGAACAGAAAGAAAAAAGAATAAATAAAAATAAATAGAGACTTGTGGGATACCACCAAACATATAAATATGCATGTAAGAGGTGTCTCAGAAGGAGAGAAGAGAGAGGACAGAAGGAATATGTGGAGATATAATAGCCAAAATCTCCTCAAATTTG